CTCACCTGAGTGGCGACTTGTTCGGCGAGGGGCAGTGCCAGCTGCCGCTCCAGCTTCTCCGCCTCCTTCTGCCGCTGCAGCTCCACCTCGTGGGCTGCCCGGAGCAGGGCCTGAGGAGGGAGCAGTGCTCTGAGGTGGCCGCGCCCTGTGCACCGACGTGCAGGTTCCCCGACCGAAGGGCGTGAGGCTCCTCACCATGACCGCCAGCCCCAGCCCATCCCGAGGGCCAGCCTGGTCCCTGTACTTCTGGCAGTGCTAGGCACCGAACCCGCCCAGGCTGCCACCCTCCAGTGTCCCCGGACTTCCCGGAAGCAGCCCCATCTGGCTAACCCATGCTGTGCCGGCTGGAAACGGAGGACGGGCCCAGACATCCCAGGCCTTACAGGGCCAGGCCCAGGCAGGGACCCACCTGGTGGTCCTCAAAGGTCGGGTTGTAGGAGGCTCCGGCGGGCATCACCTCCACCGCAGGCGCTAAGGAAGGCTTGACCTGGAGACGCGGTGGGCGCTGCAGAGAGACAAAGCTGAGGCAGGGTGAGGCCTGAACACAGCCCCTGGCTGAAACTCAAGTGACCACACAGTATTATTCAGAGACAAGGGCATACACCTGTAACCCCAGCTACCAGGGAGGCTGAGGCAGGAGGATCTCCGGTTCAAAAATCAACCAAGGCTACACAGTAAGATCCTGTCTCAATAATAATAAAATAAAATAAAATTAGTAACAGAAAGGAGGCTTTCCCCTCCGGCCCCCTGCCTTCCACCGAGTGAAAAGGCAGCATTCGGGCTCCACCTCCAAGTGGTCCCCGCCCTGCCTCAGCTCCGCAAGCCTTGCGTTTCTGGTGCTCTCTCATCACCATCTTGGACTCTGTGGCAGCACGAAGGGACGAAGGTGGCCGTGAACCGAGGATCGAGTCGCCACACTTGTGGCCTGGCTGTCCCTGTTGGGCCCCAGTGCTGCCCTGGAGACCACTGTCCTGGGCAGGGCGGCAGCCTTCTAGCACCACCGCGTGCTGCCTGAGAGCCCCAGAGATGCCGGGAGCAGCAGGGCGCCTTCTCCCAGGCCACCCAGAAGCCACTCATCCGATGCACTGAGACCCTGGGACACGGGGTCCACGTGTTACCCCTTCGGAGTCCCCCACCTGCCCCACAGAAGCTGCACAGCTGTCAGCTGTGTTGCTCTTTTTCTAGTGAGACAGGGTCTCGCTGTGCAGCCCAGGGCAGCCTCGAACTCTCTGTGACGCTCCTGCCTCAGCCTCCCACAGTGCTAGGATTATGGATGCGCCCCACACCCAGCCACCACCTGCACCAGAGCAGGGAGCAGAGGCAGAGACCGGGCCACCTCACAGACAGACAGCGCCAGAGCAGGGACGCAGGCCACCCAGAAGAGGATGGCAGCTCTGCCGCCAGGGCCCTCCGCGAGTCCTTACCCGCACGCCCTGCTTCTTGGTCTGCTCAAGGAAGAAGGCGTCCTGGCCGAGCAGCGGCCTGTCCAGCGGGTCTGCGGAGACAGCGCAGCATGCCGGGGCCTGCACGGTGCCACGGCCCAGTGGGCCCCTCCACCCCCAATTTCACAAGTGTGACACTGAGCTCAGGCCACATCTAGACGAGATGCAGAGCGGAGGAGCCCAAGCTGAGGCAGCCCCCCACTCTGGAAAGCGCCACAGCAGGAAGGGTGCCAGCCACCCAGGACACCTGATTCTTCTGGGAGACCAACCCCCAGGCACCTTGCTCTTGTGCAGTGTGTAACATGCACAACTGCCTGGGGAGGTTCTGTCCCCCCTGCAGGTGACAGCAGCATCACTCACTGTCCAGGGCCCAGAGGTCGTAGAAGGGCCTCTCAATGGTGTCCTGCGGTCCAGCCTTGACCTTGGGTGCGGGAGGGTTGAGGAGCCGGGCCTGGGCCCTGCGCACCTCCCCGGGCAGCTCTCCCTGCTTCTCCAGCCGCTCCCATAGCTGTTCCTTCCGTCGGAGCCTCTTGGCATTGGGGATCTGGTGGGCGAGCACGCTGGGCGCAGCAGGGGATGTGCACAGGTGAGGCCACCCCACGGTCAGTCCCGCCCAGACTCCAGGGACGGCTGCTCTCCGCCCCGCACCACACGCCCACCACATCAAAACCGCCTGGCATCACCAAAGTCTAAGTCTCAGATCCAACACTGGGGAGGCTGAGGCAGGAGGATCGCTGCAAGTTCAAGGTCAGCCTAGGATACATAGTCAAAGCCAGCCTGGACTACATAATGAGTCCCTATCTCAAATTTTTAAAAAGCCCAGGGATTTACCTCAGTGGCAATACCCCTGCCTGGCAAGTACAAGGTCCTGAGTTCAATCCCTGGCACCAGAAAAACAAAACAAAACAAAAAGCCCAAGCCCACTTGCTGACCTAAATGCCTCCCCCCACCAAGAGGTCCCTCAGCCAGGGGCTGGCAGGAAGGAAGGCTGGGCTTGGGGACTCACTCTTTGGGGGCAGGGATCTTGGATGTATTCTCAAGGACGAGGTCCACCCGCAGGGGTTTCTGGAGAAGCAGCTTCTTCCGAACCTTGGTCCTCTTCTTGCTCCGCTCTGGAGTGGGAAAGGGAGGGGTCAGGGTCTTGGGCTTCCCCGCTGCCAGAGACAGCACCCCCAGCTCAGCGGCCACCCCAGATCAGGGCCCGGGACGCCCAGCCTCACCCAGGACAGGAGGAAGTCACTCCGCCAGGACGAAGGGTTCTGGGACACAGCAACGGCAGGGCAGAGGAGCCCGGGCAACACTGAGCCCCAGAGGGACCTACTCTCAGCCAACACCCTCCACTTTTCACCCCGAAGACGACCAGTGAAAACAACACAACGTGCTAGGACGGAACCGCACCCTTTTTCAACAGTGGGGCCTCACAAAGGGGACCCCGCTCCTGTGTCCCCATTGTAAGAATGTGCGGTCCAGAGCACGGGGGTCACCTGAGGACCCTCGAGCACTGTCACGTGTGTCCACATTTTCCTGCTAAAGCTGCATCTACAAAAGGCCTCCCCTCTGCTCCCTAAAACCAGGCCCTCAGCTACTTTCCGTCCAGCCCCTAGGCCTGCAGTCCCCACACCAGATCTGCTCCTGCCTGTGGGAGTCACGCTGTGATAATCACTGTCACCTGCTCATTCAAAGTCCCCTGCACCTTTCGCAGGCTTCAGCCCACTGGGGGAAGGTCCAGTTCCCATGGCAACTTTGGAGCATCCCCGATGCACGTGGGGAGTCCCGCAGGGCAGGGGAAAAGACCCCACAGCTTGCTTCCGGAAGCCCTCTTAGCTGGCTCTCCCCAGCGGGTGAAAACCCTGCTGCCCGGCACCCGGCGCCCGGCACCTAGCATGTCAGGGCCAGTTTCTCACCTACTGGTTAAGACAGTCCCTCTTGTTCTTACCAAAGCTCCTACTTCTAACTAGAGCAAGTGTGACTCCGCAAGGTGAGCCCTCAACTTGCTTCTCTGCGGCCCAACTTGTCTCTAACCCTCACTCACCCTCAATTGTCTTGAACCCACTCAGCAAGCCAGGGAAGGCATTTCCGCGCACTGCCATCTCCACTACCTGAGAAACAACACCCGCCTTCTCTAGGCTGGCCTGTGGCTGGCATCCCAACCACTCCTGGTGCTCCGGTTTATACTAAAGCGGACTCTCGCTGGGTATAGTGGCAGATATTCATAACCCGGGCCATTCAGGAGGCCGGGGCAGGAGAATCCCAAGCTGCAGAATGGCCTGGGCAACTTAGCAAGACCTGTGTCAAGATAAAAGAGAAAAGGCCGCAGCAGGTGCAGCTCAGTGATAGAGTGCTTTTCTGGCACGTGTGAGGCTCTGGGTTTTTCATCTTCAGCACAGGAGGGGGGGTGGCCTGGAAGCTGGGGATTGAGCTCGTGGCTCTGCCACCTGCCTTGCAAGTGCAAAGTACGAGTTTGATCACCGGTACCAAAACAAACAAAAAAAATACAAAAAAACCTTTACTTAAAAAAAAGAAAGTGACCCTTTTTAGCAGATGTTTGCCTTCTAAGCCACGTTATTCACACAAGTGGTGTCAGGCTGCAGAAACCTAGTTTAGGCCATGCACCACAAAAGCCCTCCTCACCTTTTTCCTTGGAGCCGGTATCCACAAAGAAGAGTTTTTCATCCGGGGCCTCTGACAACAAGCCACTGGGAAACGGAAATGTAGACCATGAGCCAAGGATGTTAGGAAGAGAACAGGTTTAACCTCTTAGGGTCCAGCTTTTCTCTTAGGTTCATTCAAAGCCGGTCTTCCAGCCATGGGACCCTTCCAGGTGGGTTTTTTTTCCCCCTGGTACTGGTGCCCTCTGCTACTGAGCAAAATCCCCAGCCCTTCTATTACTTAATTCAAGGTAGGGTCTCCCTAAACTGCCCAGGCACGACTCGGATTTGCAATCCTCCTGTCTCAGCCTCCCTAAGGACGGGGATTACAGCCGGGCACCATCACGGTGGCTCAAAAATCAACATTTTTGACGCATCAAGCTTGAACTGATGCCTGGAAGGTAGAGATACTGGAGTTATCCGCTGTTCACTTAAACTTCAACTTGTCGGGCGTCTCGGATACTTACTTTGCTAAGTCTGAAGATGCTGCCAAGCCTCCCAGCCCACCCTGGGCTTCCCGCGTGGTGCCCAGGACTGGAACCCCCAGCCCCCCGGAAGTCCCGCCCCACGTACCCGGTCGTGCGCTCCTGGAGCCGCACGTCCTCCAGGAACTGATCAACCTCCAGCCCCAGCGGTTCCTCGGCGAGCCGCCGCCAGCCCCGTTTCTTATTTCTTGGGCCGCGCCGCCGCCGCCTCAGCGCCGGATCCACCGAAGTGGGCCGCAGCCCCAGGAAGCCGGTATTAGCATCCTTTTTGGAGCCCTGCCTGGCACCACCATTTTTACTTCCCGGCGCCATCTTATTAAAGGAAGAACTTTGGTCGCCGGACCTCCAAAATCCGGTTTGGAGCATGAGCGCGCTGCTCGCCCAGCCCCCTCTCCTGACGTACTTCCTGTGGCTGCCATCTTGGTAAAGTATAAGCGCTTCCGCTGAACGGGGCAGGAGTTACCATCTTGGTAAAGGGTAAATGGCTCCCTCCACTTCCGGCCTATATAAAGTGTACAAAGGGGATCTTCCGATTCTTAGCGACTGGGAGATTATAGGGTCTCACCCTAAGAAAAAAACATTTGTCCCAGCCACCAGGGGTCTTTGCTCAAACATTTTTTTGTGGTGCTGGGGGTGAAACCCAGGGCCTCACAAATGCTAGGCAAATGTTCTACTGCTGAGCAACATCCCAGCCTCATGATTTGTTGTTGTTGTTGTTGTTGTTGTTGTTGTTTGTACTGGGGATTGAACTCAGGTCCATTGCGCTTGCAAGGCAGGTGGTGGCATCACTGAGCTAAATCCCCGGCCCTCTCGTGATTATTTCTTAATATGGTTTTCTTAAAAAAGAAAAGACTCAGAACTATCAGTATCAAATACATCGGAAGACACATTACAATCTCAGAATGTTATTTGGCCTCTCTGTTCTGATGCTAGACTTCAAATCAACGTTAGAAATGTTGAGGTTGGAAACAACATTCAAAGAATGTTAGAAACATATACTATTAGGATCCCTAGAAGATATAGAATGGTTCACATTGGGTAAGCCTACTTTGCTGTGCCTCCGTTTCCTTATCTGTAAAGTGGGAACGATGCCAGATTTTTTTTTTTTTAATCTTTATGGTACTGGGGATTGAATCCAGAGTTTTCACACTGAGCTACCTACATACCCGACCCTCCTTTAAATTTAATATTGAGATACGGCTTGGCAAAATCACTGAGTTGCAAAAACTGGGCTCAAACTTTCTGTCCTCCTGCCTCAGCCCTGCAGGGTGCTGGGTCACAGGCCTGCGTCACCACACCCGGCTAATGGCAGATGATTCTAGAGATTGAACGATGTGACATATGTGAAGCGCTGAAGAGGCCGACAGCTGAGCGTTAGCTATTGTTAGAGACGCGCCCTAGACTTCATCTCAGAATCAACTAATCTCCGCTATTTACAAATAAGGAAGGAAACTCAGAGGCCTTTAGGGATCTGGCAGTCTTCCAAAGGGATGCACGGTCCCCTAAAGGCCACTCTTGATTCTAAGGGAAAAGGCACAGGGAGGGCAGGCGCCACGTCGGGGGACACACGGCGGAACCCAGCCAGATCCCACCGCAGAGCTGGAAGGTGACGGGTCCTGGGTTGTGCGGCCTCCCTCGGGGCTTTCGGTGATCCCTGCCTAGCTCCGGAGAATCCGCCAGGGGGCGCCCGAGGCCAGGGC